TTTGTATATTTTTGTTCCCTTATTACTTCTTTTTTTCTTCTATTTTGCTGTCTTCTTAATTTTTATTTTAATTTAGTAGATGATATCATGGTTTTTTTATTTATAATATTATTATATCTTATAATCATATTTATTATAGTTTGGTACTTTAAATTTTTTAATTAATAAAATATATTTAAATATTATTATAAACCAATTAATTCAATCAAATCACATTACTAGGTTAAATTAAATTGATTTAACTATAGTATAATAATGATTTAAAATAATTTAAAAATTTTATTAATGGATTAAATTATTTAATTTTAATTAAAATCCAATTTAAGTCACATCAGCGAAACGCTCCCTACTTACTACTAGTGCTCATTACCATGCGATCCATCAGTATTACCTTGGGCATATTTAATCTTTTGACAAATTCGAGGCAAATTGTAAATTTAAATTTAAGAGTTTATTTGCGAATAAAGCTTTACGTGATGATTTAACTTCAGTTAAAAAAAAAAAAGCTTTGCGTAATGGGAAAAGTGATAATATATTGTTTTATAAGTGGAAATATTGTTAAGATATATTATGTTTGATTCTTAATTTTTTTTCATTAAAATTATGTAATAATAGTAATAAGTAATTATTTTTATGAAAAAAAGCTTCATCATTTTAAAGGTGACTTATCCATAAAAATTAAAAATGAAAAACAGTAATGCCCACATGTTAAAGACCTTATTTGATTCCAAAATTTTTTTTAGACATTTTACTAGTCAAAATTATTTAGAGTTACCATGTTGTCTATAATTCTTTAGGAAAGCAATTGGACATCTGAGATTGGATATTGACGGTCCACACTTTACAGTCCACGGTCCACAAATGGCACCGCGACGAAGGAGCTTTGCAACTTCCTGGCAAATATCAATACCTCCGAACATAATAGTCTTTCCCAGGGTGAAAAAATAAATGTCAGAATTTATGGTCGCGGTGTAGGTGTTCATGACTATGAAAGCTACCGGCTTGTTTAAAGCTGTACAGAGAGAGGAAAGTCAAGAAAAGTGGGTCCGATCCCACTTTAACTCTCCTATAAATCGCAGCACGCTGCTCCTCCAATTCGCACTGAGAAACACAAACATTTTTGGAGACACAGAGACAGAGGAATTCCAGAGAATGGCAAACTTCCCAATCATCAACCTCGAGAAGCTAAATGGCGAGGAGAGGGCACTAACAATGCTGCAGATCAAAGATGCCTGTGAAAACTGGGGTTTCTTTGAGGTTTGAACATATCAAAAAGCTAACCCCTATTTTCATCTCCTCTACTTTTGCTAATGTTGTGCTATTTCTTTCCAGTTGGTGAATCACAGCATCCCTCACGAGCTACTCGACACCGTTGAGAGGTTGACGAAAGAGCATTACAAGAAATGCATGGAACAGAGGTTCAAGGAGTTGGTAGCCAGCAAGGGCCTGGAGAATGCCAATTCAGAGATCAAAGACATGGATTGGGAGAGCACCTTCTTCCTCCGTCATCTTCCTCAGTCTAACATCGCCGAGATCCCAGATCTCTCCGATGAATACAGGTTAATTTCTCCAAAGGGATTTCTCACTGAAAACAGTTTTTTTTTTTTTTTTCTTATTATTAAACAGGAAACTTTGTAGAATCTCAAACTTATCCTTTAATCAATGCAGCAAGGTGATGAAGGAATTCGCACAAAAATTGGAGAAACTGGCTGAGGAGTTGTTGGATTTGTTGTGTGAAAACTTAGGGCTTGAGAAAGGGTACCTGAAGAAGGCTTTCTATGGATCAAAGGGACCCAACTTCGGTACCAAGGTGAGCAACTACCCACCGTGCCCCAAACCGGATTTGATTAAGGGGCTGCGCCCCCACACCGACGCCGGCGGCATCATCTTGCTCTTCCAGGATGACAAAGTCAGCGGCCTCCAACTTCTGAAAGACGGGCAGTGGGTGGATGTGCCACCTATGCGCCACTCCATTGTTATCAACCTCGGCGACCAGATTGAGGTAGGGACATGCACTCTGAATTTCACCAAGCTTTCAGGAATTCTCTGTTCTTCCTTAGTAGTTGATAATAATCCTATGGTCTTGAATATGTGTTTAGGTGATTACCAATGGAAAATACAAGAGTGTGGAGCACAGAGTGATTGCCCAGCCTCAGGGTACTGGAAGGATGTCAATTGCTTCATTCTACAATCCTGGCAACGATGCCGTGATCTATCCGGCTCCGACTCTTCTTGAGAAAGAAGCAGTAGAAAAGAAGCAAGTTTACCCAAAATTCGTCTTTGATGACTACATGAAGCTCTATGCTATACTGAAATTTCAGGCAAAGGAGCCAAGATTTGAAGCCATGAAGGAAATGGAAACTGAGGTTCCAATTGCCACGATTTAATAAAGAAGATGGTTTCTATGTTTTAGAGTTGTGTGGGCTGTGGCCATACTAAAATTGCAGCTTGTTTTTTTTTTCTTTTCTTTTTTTTTTTTTTGATTATTTTGTCATGGGGCCGGTAGAATCGTAGCCGTTGGGAGGGAGGAGATGAACCTATAATAGTGACTAACGCCACTGGGCCGCTAGGCCAGGTTCAAAATTTCAGCTTGTTTGAAAGAAAAATGCATAGCTTATATTATTTTCTAATAATTTGTAAAAGTTGGATTGCAATAATAAAAGGGAATTTGTCCTCATCTTCTCATATTCCTTTCGAATTTTGATGATGGATTTCTGTCTTCCTTTCCCATTCCCCACCCCATTCATTCGAGTGTCAATGTGCCCGTTACTCTATACTTCAAAAGGGAAAAAGCCCCCTCAATTCGTTTGGAGAAGGAACAATGTAATTAAAGACCTTAATGGCCAATTCAATCCTGCTTTCGCTTCAATAATACACATTTACAGAAAACAAGAACAAGGTTATTAACAATTCTTAGGTTTTGTAGGAAGATTCCAATGTGGAGAAAACAGAGGACATGGAAACAGTGGGTGATGGGCAAAAGGAGAGGACAAGTTGGACAAATTGAACTACAAAAATAACCTAGTATATTTATTTTTTTCACTTGAAATGATATGTTATATAATAAAAACAACATTTTAAAATAATCTCCTCATTTTCTTAATCTCTCTTTACTTAAGACTCAAATTTAAAATTTTTTAATTAAAACTCTCACATTTATTTTTAAACTTTTAATCATTTGATACATCTTTTAAAAATAAAATAACCTAATTTGTTAACTTTTGTTGTTTTGCTACTAAGAAAAGAATAATAGAAATTAAGGATAATTATATTTTACAAGGAGTCCACATGAAAAAGCACATGGAACATTAGTAAGAAAGAAGAATCATGTCTCTCTTCCCAAGTGAGTTTCAATTGTCTGTTACCTAAGATAAAAAAGAAAGCATGATTGAATGACCCCCCCCTTTTTGCTCTATTTTTAGAGGTGGGGACTGGGGACTAGGGATTGTGGGATGTCTGGGCAGACCAAAATTGAGCATATAATAAAGAAATACTTCTGAACATGTTCTGCTAAACATGCTGACAATGTATGTAATCCACAACATAAGCTTCTTTCATGGGGCTAAAAGTTGAGCATCTATTGAGTATGGACAAAAGAATGCCGAGGATCACTTTTTGAAGATAAAAAGGAGTTCCTGGTGCACATGTTTTGGTTGCAAAATGGAGAACAATGGTTGAAGCAAAAGCAGCCACAAACTTTTTTCTGTTATTAGTATCTCGAAACAAGAGTTATAGCTTAGATACAACTTAAGAAAACAAAAGCAGTTGCCCACCAATATAAGAAGTAATAAGACCTATAATTCTGACTGCAAAAGCTCAAGGTGTTGTAATCCTATGATTGAAGAGAACCTTAACTTGTTTTCCTGACAGGTGATGAGAAAAAGAGGCAAGCAAACAAGACTTAGTTCAATTCGACCAGCGATGTATACTTAGGAGCATATACATCACTCAAATTGAACTGAATAAGTTAAGAAATAATAATAAAATTAAAGTAGGAAATAAATGTCTCTTTTAAAATATGAAAAAACAATTATTACTCTAAAACAAATTTTAAATAAAAAAAGATATTATTCTGGGATGGAGAGAGTGTAATGTATAAATGATAATTAAAAATATTTATGATCAAGTGAAGCTAATAAATAAGAGTTACATATAATAAAAAAGAAAATTTTCAATGGGCATTTATAGACGATACCAAAATTATAATACCATGTAAGATTATAAGTTTACAATTATAACATAGCATTAAATAAATAGATGTATACAATATCATAAATAGATTTCTAAATTAAAATAATTAATTATATAATGATAAATCATATTGTAAGTTTACATATTATCGCTATAGCATTTTCAAGGCACTTAATAAGCCTAAACTTTATTCAAATTTTATATGCTTTTTAATCTTAAGTTTTTGTTATTTGAGTTGTCCGAGTCATTTGAGTCATTTTATTTGATTTTACATATGTTTATTATTATTATAATAATTATTATTATTATTATTATGTTTGCAGGTAAGGACTAAATTGCAAGAAATCAAAGTTTTTATGACTAAACCAAAGAAATCAAAACTATAAAAATCAAAGTATCAAATTATTAAAAGATGAGAGATCAGAAAAGTTTCACCGATGAAGAATCAAAATTGCTTAGAAGTCTAAAACCCCGATACGGACTTTTTATTCTGAAATTTAGTGAAAGGATCGGCACCACGTTTAGGATGTCGCCCCTTGGGTAATATTCAAGGTACCGTTTTGGTATTGGAGCGCAGAGATTGGGGGTTTTGGACGCTTAAGTCTATAGCAAGGGATTTCTGCCAACTTCTTTCCAAAATTTCTTCATCTAAATTGTTTCAAATCTTTTCAAATCTATGCAATCAAGTAAAAAAAAAAATCAAAAATATTATATGAGTTACGTAAATTTGATAAGAAGGGAGGGGACCTAGCAGGTTTTGAAGATGACAAGGAGAGAAACAAAAGAGGGTTGGCAGCATTTTGAAGGAGGTAGTTCCAACAAAGAAGAGACTCTAGCAGTAGTATTGATCAATTTTAGGTTCTTTTTTACTTTTGTTGAAAATAAGATTTTAATTGCAGTTGGTTTCTATATAGTAAATTATAAATTAAGTTTTTTTTTTTAATTTAAATTGGATCTAAACCATGAATTTTTAAGTTTTTAGTTGAATTCAATTTCAATTTATTTCTTATTTAAGTGATTATTCTATTTTGTATTTAATACTTTTAGTTGAATTGATTACTTAGTTGTTTAGTTAGTTGATATTTATCTTGAAAAAAGAAAAGTGTTAAAATTAAATCATTGAATAAAGTAACAAAAATTACATGAAATAAGAACATACTAATAATAAATATGCTGTTCCAAAAGAAAAATTATAGGGCTTAATATTATTTTTAGTTTATATAGGAATGCAAAAATTGATAAGTAAGAAGACAAATATGGTTAAGTTTTGAGAAAGATTAATAATTTTTATATGGATTTTTCTACTATTATTTCAGAATTAATTGATTGAGGAAAAAATTCAACAAGTAAAGTTTGAAAAGGATTGGATTGGTGAAAATTGTATGCTTGAATTGTTTAACAATTAGAATTAATTTTCACAAATTTGTTTAATTTTTTTTTAACTACAAAATTTTTTTTTTTTATTGAAAACAGAGTATAAGAAGTATTTCAAACCCATATACGTTTCCTACATGGTGGGGGCAAGGTGCAAGTTTGTTGAATTTAAAATCAATTCAATCAAGTTTCTTCTTCTTATATTTCAAAGTTAAATAAAATTAAAATTAACAAAACGTTGTTTTAATCTTTAATCTCTATGGGAACAATATTTTATTTATCATTATATTACTTATTTAATAGTAATTTGCCATTACGTTTAATATGATATTATATTCACAACAGTACATTAACTACGTTAATTTTTCATCTATATTTTTTGACTTAAAAATTAAAAAATTAAACTAAAACTACTATATATATTATTATATGGAGGGAGTCATCTACAACAAAAGTGTCGAAAACAAATGGAGGGGGTCGCATGGCGGCCATGTTCATTGGTTTGTGGTTTAGATTGAAATTTTAAGGGTTTATTCAGCATCAAAGTTTAATCTTTTGGTCTTCTACTTTAGCAAAAAGTTTTTTTAGTCCTTTTACTTAAAAAAACCTCATTTTGATTCTTAAGTTTGAAATTCGATATATTTTTACTCATTCGTTAAGTTTTAACATTAGATAATGAAAAATTTTAAAGTAAATGAACAAAAAGAGGATTTTTTTTAAGGACTAAAGGGGCTATTTTTTGTTTCTCTACTTTGAAATTTTCATTATTTAATGTATCATGTGTAAAACTTTATGAAGGGACTAAAAAAAGAGTCAAATTTCAAATTTTAGAAACAAAAAATGAGTTTTTTAAGTAGAGAGTTAAGAAGGAATTTTTTTATTAAAGTAAAGGGACCAAAATGAAAATTTAACCTTTTAAATACCATGTATGTATAAATAGATGGCAGCCACGTGAATGACACTTTCCATCTCTTTGAATTCTGAGCACATTTAGTGGAGATTATAACTTCAAAGGCTTATTTATCATCAATAATAATTCATCTTAACTTTTAATGATAGTTTAAGAGACAAATTTGCTAATTTCATATATTATCTTCGAAATTTTCTTCATCTTAAATCATTAAATTACGTCTCTATATGTCATGTTAAAGTGTACTAAAGTAATATACTATTTGAGTTCATAATAACAACTTAACATAAGATAAATTTTTATAAATTATTGTATAAAAATTTATTGTAACCTTAGAATAGTAGAGAGGTTAAGTAATAAAAAACTTTGAAGTTAGGTATTTACTGTTATAAAATAAAAAAAAAAATAAGTAGAAGAAAGAGTATGAATTAGTGACATATAAAGAAAGATAAAGAGATTAAGAAGTGTTTATTTTTCTTTATATATATATTTGGTTAAAATCTCATTTTAATCCCTTAACTTTTGTACAAAAATTTTTTTTCCTCTCTTAACTTAAAAAAAAAAAAAAAATCTCATTTTAATCTTTAGATTGTATTTTTTGAGGCCTTTTTTGATCTTTCTGTTAACTTTTACCAACGGAGCACAACATTCCGTCAAGTTATTATTTTCTCAATTTTGTAAACATTACGCGGATATACGAAATGCTTTTACGTGGCAAATATTCGACTTACGTGGCATTCCAAGCAAGCATGCATCTTTAAAATGTATAAAAAATATATAAGGATAACTTTTTGTATTATATTTTAATATAATTTATATATTATTTAAATAATTAATTATTTTAATTTATTTAAAATTATAATATTAAATATATTTATTCACTTAATAATATGTAAAATTTATATAAAAAAATAGTAAAATTTTTTTTTATATCATTTCCTAAAATTTTTTTAAATGTGGGCCCTTCTAGAAAAACAAGTGAGTTTCGAATTGAAAAAACATTAGGCCCTCAAACTTATACGTGCGAATGACAAATATGCCCTCCTAATCGTCATCTTCCTCAGCCACTTCTTCTTCCTACTCCCTCTTTCTCTCCTCCTCTCATCTCTCCTCGATGGTGAACGAGGTTGGCGTGCTGGTGAAGTTAGCTAACGAGCCACCTCGTCAAAAATACAACAGAGGGAGTAAAAGGCCTGGAAA